TTTTTGTTTTGGTTGCAGCCGTCATTGTTGTTTGGCGGGTCCGGGCTGGGGATTCGAACCCGCTACCTTAGGTGTACGTGGCTGGCGCCTTAGCCGGTTGAGCCATAGGCGCCAAGCCTATAATGGGGTTTTTTTTTGGATCACAACGTAAGTCAAGCAGCATCTGTATTCTGAGCTGTGCAACCATCACCACAATCAATTTTAGAAAATTTTCATCACTCCAAAAAGAAACCCCATATCCATTAACAGTCATTATCTATTTCCCCCCAACTTCCCCTGCCCCCAGCACCTACTCATGTACTTTCTGTCTTTATAGATTTGCTTATTGTGGACGTTTCACATGAATAGAATTATATAACACGTGGCTGCTTTCACTGAACATGTTACGAACACGTATCATGTATCAGTACTTCATTCTTTTTTATGGCCACATAATAGTCCACGATAAGGATATACCATATTTTGTTTATGTGTTCATCAGTGGATCGATGGACATTGGGTTGTTTCCCTCTTTTTCTGTAAGTTTTTGAGTGGACACAAGTCTTCGTTTCTCTTGGGTATATGCCCAGGAGAGAAATTGCTGAAACTACGTGTAGGCTTCTGAGGAGCTGCCAAACTGTTTTCCAAAGTGGCCATACCATCTTATGTTGCCCCCAGTAGAGTATGAGGGTTCTGATTCTTCCACATCCTTGATAACACTTGATACTATCTGTATTTTTATTATAATCATTTTTTAGTGGTACCAAGAGTACCTCATTGTGGGTTGTTGTTTTTTTTTTTTTGAGACAGAGTCCCACTATGTCACCCTTGGTAGAGTGCAGTGGCGTCACAGCTCACAGCAACCTCCAACTCTTGGGCTTAAACAATTCTCTTGCCTCAGCCTCCCAAATAGCTGGACCTGCAAGCACCTGCCACAACACCCAGCTATTTTTGGTTGCAGTTGTCATTGTTATTTTAGCTGGCCCAGGCCGGGTTCAAACTCACCAGCCTTGGGTCTATGTGGCTGGCACCATAACCACCGTGCTGTGGGCACCGAGCCCTCATTGTGGTTTTGATCTAAATCTCCTTGGAGCTGATGGAGTAGGGCATCTTATCTTTTTATGTGCTTACCAGCTATGTGTCTACCCTTGGAGACAGGTGTGTTCAGGCCCTTTGCTTATTCTTAGATTTGTATTTTTCTTTTAATTGTAAGAGCTCTTTTTACTTCTAGCTTTAAGTTCCTGCTCAGATATATATTTGTAAATATTCCCTCTCCTTCCAAAGGACTCTTAGCACTCGCAGAATAGAATCCAGATGCCTTTCTTAGGCGAGAGGCCTGCCTGATCCTGCCTTCATCCCCTCTTCCCTCTGCCCATCACTGGCCTGTTCCTCCAACGTGTCGGCCTCAGGGCTTTTGCAAGCGCTCACTCCCTTTGCTTAGAGATCCTTCCTGGAAGTCTTCCTTGCTTTAAGTCTCTGTTTAGATATCGCCTTCTTACAGATCCCCGACCATTTTATCACAGCCTCATTCTCCCTGTCTTTCTCTATCCTTTATCCTGCTTTCTTTTTTTCTTAGTGGCACTTAGTATGAATAACCTGACATCATATCACACACTTATGTGCCGAGACCGTTTCTCAGTTAGAATTTCAGTTCCATGAGGGGAAGGAATGTTGTTTGTCTGTCTCCTGTTACTAGATCTTAAAAGCCCAAACAGTGCCAGACATATCTGGGCACTTGATAGGAACTTGATAGATGTCTATTAAATGAAATATACCCACTACTGTTACTTGAATGCTTACTATGAGTAAATGCGCCACATAGCACTTCAAATAAAATACCTTATTTAATTCCCACGACAACCCTATGCTATGAGGTAGATCCTATTGTTACTCTATTTTCTAACAGACGAGAAACCTAAACTAAGAGTTTAAATAATTTATCCGTGATCCTACGAACAGGAAGTAGCAGAATCAGGATTAACCCAGGCAGTCTTAAGGCATGAACTACAAGGCTCTATCACGCCTCCCCCAATTACTGATTTGCCAAGCAAGTCCCTCTCCCTCCTTCCAGCCTCAGTTTCCTCACTGTGACACGGGCGCACCTTCCTCCCTTACAAGGTTCCTGAACAACTTGCCAAGTAGAATCAGGCGAAGCACCAGCAAGAGTGCCTGGCACGTCAGGAGCATTGGGTAAGGGTGAGCTGCTGTGATGATGATGTGATGATAATGATGGCAGTGATGCTGATTATAATAATAAGATGACTTTAGTGCTGTGAAATTAATCCTTTGAAATCAAATAAAGCTGTATCATTATTAATTAATACTGTTCAAATGCATCCTTGCGTACAGATTGATTTCATGTAGACAATGCCTCAACTCTTGCAGAGGGGGGCCCGGCTTATTCCAGCCACATCAGGGTTCTACCAGATGGAATCCAAAAGATTTCTTGACCAAGGGAAGGGGATGCTTAGATAACAATGCACATTTTCTGAGGCCTCAGTAAGAGTATACTCAACGCCTCCATGAAGGTGGGATCTCAGTGGCCTGTTAGAGACAGGTCTCAGCGTAACCCAGGACAGGGTTCTTATGCGGGAATGTCATATTTGTAAATTCCTATCCAGCCACCCCACAGGCAAGAGGAGCTGGACGCAGCAAAAGCCCTTCCCCACTCACCATTCCCCCAGGAAATGGCCGGCTATCATGTTTGTTAAAAAGAGGTCACCACCAGCCAGTTCACCTCTGTGTGCTATCACACCGTGTGACATCCGGAGGAGGTGGGTCAGGGTCCACTCACCTGTGTGGGTCTGCCTGTGTGTCTCCAGGGCATCCTCCTTCGAAAACTGGGCACCGCACTGATCACAGACGAAGGCTTTGGCTCCCGCTGAAAGAAAGGAGAGGCAGTTACCACCAGAGCAATAGCACGTGGGGGGGCAGTGCTGGGCCACAGCCACACAGGGGCACACGGAGGGGATGAGCTGGGCAGCTGTGAAGACCCTGAGTGAGGAACAACCCGCAGCCCCAGTGATCAGCTCAGACCCTCCTCCAGGAGGTGACCACCCGACTAAGTTCCAAATGTCCTCGCCCAGGATTCAGGCGACAAACTCTGAGAAAGGGGATCTGAACAGCTAGCTCCCGGGAAGGGACAGACAGGAGGAAATAATACCAATGAGGGGACAGGTGCCCTGGTGCCTGAATGGGCTTCACGGGAAAGCAGCAGTGGCTGACCTCGCCCTTCTGGAATACCACAGGGATCTTGGACTCAGTACGCCCTTAACTAAACTCCCAGTCTACCCCCGCTGCTGCCTGCAGCTGACCACTTAAAACCCCTGAATGGCTCCCTGAAGCCTGGAGAACGAGATCCACGCTCCTGACCACAAAGTGCTTCTTGGTGTACTCATCCCTTCTGCTCCCTCTCTCACACCCCAGCCTGCTCCCTTCTTTCCAGCCATGCTGAGCTCGTTGGAGGAGCGATGTTCTTCCTCACTCCAAGGTTCCTGCACTCTCTTCTGCACATCCTCCACCTCTGATGTCCTTCCCCGATCCCCTGGCCACTGTGGCATAGCCAGAGCCGCTATTCATCACTTAGGTACCAGCTATGACACCGGCACCCCATCACTGGGTGAGGTGACCCTTCTTCGTGCTCCCACAGCATCCTCTACGTTCGAGTTCTTGGCCCCCCTGCAGTACTCCGGTCTAAATGCCCAGGGACCTGTCCCCCTCCCCCACTACACAGTAAGCTTGTCATCTTGCCCACAGCTGCATCTGTCTGACACACGGTGGGAACCTATTACTACCCATATTTGTGGAATAAACAAAATGCATTCAGAGCCACTCAATTTAATAGACGTTTTTAGAACCATTATTTACAAGGCCAGGCGTGACAACGGCACCATGTCAAGATGAAACAGTACTTTTTGTCACTGGCTAATAATCTTCAAGGCTTTAATATGTTATCTGGTCCAGGGGGTCATCTGTCACAAGCCTGGACACTTTTCCCTTCAAGATGTCCCCTAAATGCATCTCTTTCACTGCATGTTGATAATCACTGCCCCACCCAGGCCCTGGTATCATATCCAGAGCACTATAAGATTCAAGGATGGTTTCCACACCGCCAGCCACCCTCCCTCACCGCTAGGTCTCTGAACACTTTTCTGTACATCTTGTCCCTCTGACAATCTCCCCTGCTTCCCTGGCCACTCTGGGGCCCCTCGATCCCTCACATTTCCTTACTCCACAAGATACGACGGCTCACAATTTGTACTGATTCTAAATCTCTCCACTTGGTGTCAAGGCTTCGCATAACCTGTCCCCATTAGCTGCCCAACTTCATGGTAGGCTGTCCTCACTGGCCCTGTCCGTCCACGCTGAATCTCTGTGCTTGCCCATTGTCCAGTCCTGCCCCTCCCTCTATCCCAGTCCCATTCCATTCTCAAGACCAGAGTTTATGGACACTAAATTCTGCAGCAGCCAGGCGCGGTGGCGCACACCTGTAATCTTAGCACTCTGGGAGGCCAAGGCAGGACAATTGCATGAGCTCAGGAATTCAAGACCAGCCTGAGCAAGAGTGAGACCCCATCTCTAGTAAAAGTCACCCAGCTACTTAGGAGGCTGAGGCAAGAGGATCACTGGAACCAAAGAGTTGGAGGTTGCTATTGGTTATGATGACACCACAGCATTCCAACCAGGGTGAGAAAGTTGGACTGTGTCTTAAAACAACAACAACAACTAAGCCCTCCAGCCCCTTCCTGCTCTGCCCTTTAAACCTACCACTGCATTTTGTTCTTTTCCGTATGCCTCAGCACTTTTTTCAGAATACCTGTGTTTTGGTTTTGCATTAGGGCCTTGTAAGAGCCAGAACTACTCTCACATACATGCAGTCCACAGTGCTGTTTTCAAATCACCTCCAATTCCCTGAGGCTTTACTATATACCAGGCATGGTGCTAAGTGCTGAATACTAAATATGCATCACAGCAATCATCCTAGCAGCCATTTATAAAATACTATTATCCCTATTTTGCAGATGAGTAAATTCCAGCTCAGAGAGGTTAAGTGCTTTGCCCAATATTAATAGCAAGGAACAACAGAGGTGAATTCCAACCCAGGCAGCTTGACTTCACAGCCTTCCCTCTTAATCCCTGTGCCCTTCAGCCTCCCTAGGGTTCCACCTTCAGTGATGCTCCATGGACGAGTCGACCGCAGTGGCTCAGACCCACAATCCCAGCACTTTGGAAGACTGAGGCAGGTGGACCGCCTGAGCTCAGGAGTACCAGACCAGCCTGAGCAAGTGTGAGACCTCATCTCTACTAAAAAGAACAGCAGCCACTGTGGCACATATCTGTAGTCCCAGCTACTTGGGAGGCTGAGGCAAGAGGATCACTTGAGCCCAAGAGTTTGAGGTTGCTGTGAGCTATGACAACACAGCACTCTACTCAGGGTGACAGAGTGAGACTCTGTCTCAAAAAGAAAAAAATAATAATTTTTCATGGATAAAACCTCATGGTGGAGTCTGGGTTTCCTTCTCTCAACTCAAAAAAAAAAAAAAAAAGAAAACTCCAATTTCCCATTTTACACACCAGAGCTTTTAATGAAATTGTATCTGGAAAAATGGTTCCACTACTCTTAAAACGTTTGAAAAATAACTCTAAATACAAGCTGTACCAGCACAGACGTAAACACCAGTGAACGGTTCCTGCCAGTGGGACTGTTGGAGGAGGATGAGGAGCAGGTGCAGAAGGTGGGGGTCCCAGGCAGGCAATGACCTGGTCTACCTCACTGACACCTGCATTCCCACCATGAGCAGGAGATTCTCCAGGCAGTGCCCAGGGAGTTGACTGAGTACCAAAGTACCCCAGGGAAAATATAAAATCACTTTAAAAATAAATACTGCCATTTGTCTTAGGTGGCTGGGTTGAAATGTCCTCCAGGCAGGGAGAATGGCACGGTGACCTCTGGGTGTCCCTGGGTGCTGCAGGGGGTCCTCAGGCCAAGCACCTGGTACATGGCTTATAGAGCTTTGAAGAAAGAGCCAAGAAAATTTCCATCGGGGATGACGCAAAGCAGTCACAATGCGTGTTCACAGAGGTGGCAGCCAAGACCACTTTTTATTCATTCACCCTGGAAATGCAGAAGGTACCTCAAACAGCAGAGTGGGCCCCAATGGGGAGGCTGGGGCTACATGAAGCCATAGCTCCCTTGCAGCCAGAAACTTCCCCCATGTCCCATCAAAATCATTAGCCGTCAATGATTTTCTGTGGGTCTGTAAGGGATCTGATTTCAATTATCTTTCTTTCTTTGATTGTCTGTTTTCATGGCTCCCTAGAGAACCGGGGAGCACAGGCCCAAGGGGGATGGCCAGGCTACAGAGGCAGGTCGCCTCGTGGGCTCCCCATCACTCCGGAGCCCACAGCCGGCTTCCAAGGGATGTGGTACGGCGGGTTCTTAGAAAACAGCCTTCACTGTGGCTGTCGCCTCTTCTCGCTTTAATGAGTGAGAAGCAGAGAGAAGGGAAGGAGGGCAGGTAGGGACTCGGGCCGGATGTGTGCCATCAGACAAGTGCAGATGAAGATAAAACAGATGAGCACACGTGATCAAGCCAAAGCTGCTGGCTTGGCCCAAGCCTGACCACAGCCCCTTGCCTTCAAAGTCCCACCACATCCCCACCTCGCGGAAGTCACGAAACTGAGCTGAGTACGTGAAAAACCTGTCCTCAGCCAGTCTGGGTCAGACTTCTCGTCAAACACAGACACCACCGGCTCCGCAGCCAGTCCCCACTCCCGAAGCCCTGGTCTTCCTCCCACCACCACCCAGACAGACTCTGACAACACCCCCCACCTCCCCAGGGTGAGCCAAGGAGCAAAGACAGGCAGTGCCACAGCCACACCAGCCGAGCAGAGGGAGACAGACAAAATCCTTCTCCTGAGGAGGCTTGTGCCTTTAAATCGTCTCTGTAATGGCTGGCTCAGAGGCAGAAATATTTGGCAGCCCTGAAATTAAAAGTGATAAATTTCCTCGCCAAGCTTTGATCGATAATAGAGGCCTCATCTGTTAATCAATAAGACAGTCTCTGCCTGTTTACGGTGCATATGTTGCTCACTGCTGCCTTCAGTATGATGTCAAGTTTGCATTCAGAGCAACTCAAGTGTGTATAAACCACATGGCTATTCCCAAAATGCATTACGGTGACATCACTCAGCCACTGATACATTTATAAAGCATCAATGGGAGGGGGACGAGGGAGAGAAGGAGGTCATGCCAGATGAACACAACGGGTGCATATGGGCCTAGTAACAGCATTTAGCCCCCACAAAATTTTCTGGGCTCATCCTGGAGTGGGGAGAAGTTCAGGGACACAGCTCAGGGATGGCCGTGACTCATCAGATCCTTCCTGCACACAGGGTCTGAATTTTGGGCATCCATCAAGTACAAGCCAAGAAGTGGATTACAGTAAATAAACAAAATTCCTGTCCTCATGGAGTTTACATTTAAAAGGGGAAGGCGGATTTTCAAAAAGCAAGTAAACATAAAACAGGCCAGGTGGTGCTAAGTGACAGAAAGAGCAATACATTAAGTGAAGAGAGCGTGCCAGGGCTGCTCTGTGACGCAGGCTGGTCAGGGAAGACCTCTCTGATGAGCTGACACCTATGTGGAAAGGTGAAGGTGAGGCCATGCCAGGCACAGGAAAAGCATGAAGGGCAGCTACACAGAATGCAGCCGGTGAGGGCAGAGTGGGACAGGGCGTGCAAGGGACAGGTTCAGGAAGGGAAATTAAACAAGGGAGAACGGCAGACAGTAAAGGGGGCTAGAGCTTCGCTCTCCTCCATAGCAGTCACAGATCCGAGGGAACCAAGGAAAGGAATAGCAGGATCTATTGGGAGAACTGG